GCCGCTAGGGGCCGCGAAGGGCCGTGAGAGGGGCCTCGAAGGGCCGCGGAGGGGCCGCGAGGGTGCCGCGAAGGGGCCACGAAGGGCCTTGAGAGGGGCCGCGACGGGGCCTTAAGAGGGCGCGACGGGCCGCTAAGGGCAGGGGACGCGACGGGAGGGCAGGCACATGGGGCGCGACTAGGGCAGGGGCGAAGCGCGCTCCGGGCAGGATTTTTTGTTTTTTGTTTTTTTTCGATTTTCGTGGTGGGCCCTAGGAAACGTTCCCACTAGGGAACCTGCTCTATACCATGTTAAAGAATGAGGAATAATTGAACTAGAACAAGGGTGGGTACAAGTAGGAAACCCTAGGAAACTATACCCCTTAGTGTCTACCCCACTATAGCCTAGACAAGCTATATGATAAATGTTTGACAAGGAGTCGGTATGTCAAGGGCGTCGGGGTCTCCCTCAGGGGCGAGCAGCATGGCACAGAGATGTGGGGAAGCGGCTGCCAGGAACTCTAGCTCAAACTGCATGTCCTCTAGGGCGTCACAGCCAAGGGCAGACTCACCCCTGACGGCCAGAGGACTGGTAGGAGGAGCAGCCACAAGACCGGTGGCGTAGTCAAGGCGGCGAGTGGAGGCAAACTCAGTGACTGCGGCAGTAAGGGCGGAGACAGAGGAGACAGAGGCACGAGGGTCGGTAACAAGAGAGGCGAGAACACGAGAGAGAACAGGACGGTACGTGCGGTAGTAGTCAGTTACAGGAGTAGAGAGAGAAGCAGTGAAGGCCGACTCAAGAGGAGACGGAAGGAGAGACGGAGACAGACGAGGCAGACTAGAACGAAAGAGGGCAGTACAAATGTCAGTAACGAGAACAGGAGACGAGGGACGAGCACGAGGGGAGCAACGAGAGGCCCAAGTCTGAGAAATAGGAGGGGACAACTGAGGCTGAGAACGAGGGAAAACAGCCGGGGAGGGGTCAGGAGGAGGAAGCGGAGGACCCGAGACGGAAGGAGAGGGGGAGGAGGAAGGAGAGCGAGAGGGGAGACCAAGGGCCCGAAGACCAGAGACAGGAGGAGGAGGCGTCGGCTGCTGCTGCTGCGGCGGCGGCTGCTGCTCCTCGTGCTGCTGCAGTGGCTCCAGCTGCTGCGCCTCCTGCTGCTGCGGCGGCTCCAGCTACGGGTGCTGCAGCTCCTCCTGCTACTGCTGCTCCTCCTCCAGCCGCTGCAACTCTCTCTCCTCTCTCTCCAACTCCAGCTGCTCCTCACGGGCACGGCGAACACGAGCCTGGTGCCGGGTCGGGTAGGGGTGGGGGGGAGGAGTAGTGCCGGGGGCTGCGGCAGCCCCGGGACCACCCTCCAAAGCACCTGGCGCACCACCCCCAGAGTCAGCACCACCAACAGCAACACAACCAGGCTCACCAAGACCCAAAGAGGGTGCACCCGCACCCCTAGAGTCAGCAGGACCAACACCAGCACCTGGAAGACAAGAGTCTCCTGCAGCAACCGGCTCAGCTCCAACTCCAGCATCCCCAGAGCTAGCACCTCTCCACGAGCACCGGCTCCCGCAAGGTCTGCAGCAGGCTGCGAGGAGGACTGCGGGGAAGGAGGCTGCACCTGAGGGGCTACCGAGGGGGGAGGGGTAGCCTGGGACGCACCTGACAGGGCAGGACCGGGGGGGGGAGACTGTACCGGGGGAGCAGGAGGGGGAGCGGAAGTCAGGAAGAGAGGGAGAGGAGGAACCGGGAGACCTCGACTGGGGTACCTAACGTAGTAGGGGGTGGACTCATCGAAGGCAGACGTCACGGGAGTCAAAGAACCGGTGAGAGGGAGGGTGGTAAAAGGTGAAGTCAGAGGAGTCCTCAGGGAAACCAAGGAAGACACAGGGAACGGCGCGAGGCGAGAGCTTGTCCGCGGAAGAGTCGCGAACAAGCGCTAAGCAACCCCATACACGAAACCTCGACGCAACACCAGGGGACCCGGTCCAAAGACTGGTCGGTGAAGCCTCTGGCCGAGAGACGCGTGGCCAGAGGTTCAGCTGGTGAGCGGCGTACCTAACCGCGTAGGGCCACAGAAAATGGGGGGCACGGGCGTGAGTCAAGGAGGTGCGGGTGATCTCCATGACCAAGCCTATGCGGCGCTCAGCAACCCCATTCTGCTGTGGGGACTCTGGAAGTGTCCAGGACTGACGAATGCCCTGCTCGCGACAGAATCCAGCGAGAATGCTGGAGCGAAACTCACCCCCACGGTCAGAGTGAAGACAGCTGACACGACGACCACGAGTGTCCTCTGTGGTAAGCAACCACCTGATCAGCATAGAAGTCGCCTCAGACTTCTTCGCCAGGGGGAACACTGTGGTGTAGCGGGAGTAGTCGTCAACGACCACCAGAAAAAAATGCTCGTGCTCAGAGCCAAGGCGAGGGGCGGGGCCCCAGACGTCCAAGTGGAGCGTCTCAAAAGGCTCGGTGGCTGGAGGAAGGGAGGAGGAGTGAGGGGTGGCGCGCAGCGGACCCTCGACGCAGGGACCGCACGGCGGAGCAAGCGAAGGCGGCAGCGACGGCAAGATACGCGAGAGGCCTAAGACAAGACTCTGACGAGACATAGCGCGCAGACGAGGGAGGGACGGGTGCCCCATCCGGTGGTGCCACAGAAAGGTGGGGTGTGCAAGCGACCGGCAGAAGCACGACGCAGCAACTGGACCAGGCACGGGAACCTGACCAGACACAGCTACCTGGGGGGACGCAGCAACCTGGTGAGACGCAGGGACCAGACTGGGGGAAGTAACCGGGGCCGGGGGCAGGAGTCGCTGCTGCTGCTGCTGTCGTTGCTGCTGCTGCTGCTGCTGCTGCTGCTGCCACTGCTGCTGCCCACCAGGGCCAGTGTGAATTGTGTAGAGACCAGAGCCCGGCTCGGCTGTAAAGGTGGCAAGGGGCGAGTAAGTGTCGCCGTCAACACAAACCGCCGTCGCACTAGAGGGCTCAATCCACACACCCACGTGCTGACTCACAAGAGGCCTCACGCCCACCAAGTTCCTCGAGAACGAGGGGACGTGGAAGCTAGTCAGAGACCCAGAGGGAACAGCAGGGCACGGAAGAGTAGTAGTGTAGCGAGCAGTGACTGGTCCTGAGGTGGGATCGGCCAGCGCCACAGAGACTGGCACAGGAAGTGGAGTAAGTAACGTGTGGTCGCGGAAGAAGCAGTGCGAAGCCCAGAGTCCAAAGTGAAAGACAACGAAGCGTCCTCCAAAGTAGCGCCTGGACTAGTGTCTACACAAGTGTCTACACTAGCAACAGGCAACTCAGCAAGACTAGCACCTAAGCTAACAACACTCGAGAAAACAGAGTCAGAAGCACTAGAGTCAACAACAACATACATGGCATGAGGAGTTCCTAAGAGATCAAGCAACTAAGAAGCAGACATGCCCCAAAGAGCGGAGCCGTACGTCTGAACAAGAGGAAACCAGTCCGGGGCAGGGCCACCAACGCCGAAGGCCAAGCGAACCGTGTCAGTGAGCTGAGCAAAGCACTGACCAGGAGGGTGGGTGCGGCCACAAGGCTGGCCTCGGCGAGCACCTGTCAGAACCTGATAGGTGCACGAAGGGTGAATAACACCTCGCTGGGGCTGACGCTGTCCGGGCCCCGAAACCTGCTGCTGCTGCTGCTGCGAGGAGTGCTGCAAGGGGAGGGGCTGCTGCTGCTGCGAGGAGTGCTGCAAGGGGAGGGGCTGCTGCTGCTGCACCTGCTGCTGCCGCTGGGCCAGGTACCACGCCGCTGCTCCACCCACCGCGGCCGGCAGACCAGGAGGAGGCTGACGAGGCCGGGTGTCCCCTCCACCAGCTGCAGTAGGGGAGTCACTGGCCGCTGCACGAGACGCCTCTCCAGGCCCTGCGCTCCCGCCGCCACCGGTCGGCACGCCACCTCCACCACCTCCACCGCCAACGCCACCACCGCCGCCGCCGCCTACACCCTGACCGCCCCTCCTGCCACCCCTACCCCGAGACCGCGACGAAGTCGTAACAGCAGCTGCGGTCACGTCAGTAGTGGCAGTGGCTAGTGAGGCAGTAAAAGTGGGCAGTTGAGGGACAGTGCACCCGTGAAACAGTGGAGGGGGCACATCACCAGAGGTGGAGGCTACGGAGTGGAGGTTGCTCTCGACGTCCTTGAGCGCAGACTCAAGGACCTCGATAGTGAGCTCACTAGGGTGCTTCAGAAGAAGCGTGTCACGAACCGAGGCAAGGCGGTCAGGCAGGCTAGTGGCAATGAAGTAGATAGTAATCGCCATGGGAGGGGGAAGCAGTGCAAGCTGTGCGTCAGTGCAAACAGCGCGGTAGCTAGAATCGAGCGAGCGGAGGTGAACATTCAAGTCAGTAGAGCGCTCAAACGAGGCGAGGTCAGGGAACAAGAACGGTAGGAAGAGGCGGCCAAGAGAGACAGTGGTGGGAGTAGCGTAGCGGGCCTTGATCGTAGTCAGGAACTCACTAGCAGTGCTAACCTGAGTGACATGGGCCTCCTCAGACTCAGGGAGGAGGCTGCTAAGAGTGATGCAGGCCGCAGAGTCACGCGACTTCCACGCCGTCAGGTCAGCACGCTGGCGGGTAAAGCGGTCTCTGGCGGCGTCGTCAGGGGCAGGGCCTAAAGGCGTAGGGTCGTCGGGCGCAGGAAGGTCACCAGTAGCGTGCGCCCAGAGGGACTCGCCCGCCTGGACCTGACTCTCTAAAAGGCGACGCGCGCGTAGGAGCCAGACCGGAAACTCGAGCGGTCTACCGTCAGCGTCAAAGCGAAGAACCCTAGGGGTCGCCATAGCGTAAGCAGAAACGACAAGTCCGGCTGCGGGCGGCACTGGTAGGGGGGGCTAGGGTTAGACCGGGGCAGGTGCAAAACGCAGGCGCGACAGGCGCAAGGGGTGGTCCCGCGGTGGACTGAACGAGTAGGCGCAGGAGTGTGAAGGGAGGGCCTAACGAGTGGGCCCGCAGCAGGCCTAACGAGGAGGCGCGGCGGCTGAAAGGGAGGGCCCATGGCGGCTATAAGGGAGGGTCCGCAGCGGGCAGTACGGGCAGGCGCGGCGGCGGGATGAGCGAGCCCACGGCGGGCCTAACTAAGAGGCGCGACGGCGGGCAGGAGGGGTAGGCGCAGCGGCAGGACGAGCGGGCCCACGGCGGGCCTGACGCGTAGGCGCGGCGGCAGGCGGCGCGAATAGGCGAGGCGGCGGGACGAGCAGGCCCGCGGCGAGCCAAACGGGCAGGCGCGGCGGCAGGCGCGGCGCGCGAACGGGCGTGTTGGGCAGCGGGGGGAGGGCGCGTCGCGACGAGCAGCGGGGGAGGGGACGACGGGACGGGAAGTGGGGGAGAGCGCGACGCGACGGGGGGCAGGGGAAGGCGCGACGCGACAGGCAGCGGGGGGAAGGCGCGTGGTGACGGGCAGCGGGGGGAAAGCGCGACTCGACGGGCAGCAGGGGGGGGGGGGAAGCGTGACGTGACGAGCAGCGGGGGGCAGGGGGGGGGGGGGGGGAGGGCGCTATGCTACGGGGAAAGCGGGTCGGCTTAACGGGCGGTAACGAACGAACGGGACTAGATCGGACCGGCGCTAGGCTCGGGCAAGACGGGCGCAACTAGTACGACAGTGTGAGACAGGCTCGAGCGAGAAGAACGAGGATGGGAGGAGCGGGATCCCACAGGATCCTAACCTAGGTGATACCATGTCAAGAATAGAAGTGTGTTGGTTCATTGATGTGGGTTGGGGTACAGATAACAAACCCTAACATCTGTACCCCCTAAGACAAACCTCACTACAGGCTACAACATTTGACAGGCATGAGGTTAGGTTAGGTTGTTGCTTAGGTTAGGAGGGGGTTTGAATGCTCGATTTTTTTTTCTCATGTCAGATTTCACTTTGTATAGCAGTGAAGTGGTGAAGTAGTGCAAGGTACCGGTACCAGATATGTGGGGTATGCAGTGATGGGATGCGGAAGCGTGAAATAGAATTGGACTGAAACAAACGGTGTAGAGGAATTGCTTATTCAACTAGCTTCACAAAAAAGATACGGAATACACAAGGCTGATAGTAGTTCTGGTCCGAAAACACTCCCCTGACAACCGCCACGAACAACCAATCATTGTTCCTGCCAACGACTTACTGCTCCGCCATCCACACGCATCCCTGAGATCAAGCCAATCGCTCGGCCCTTTCCAACAAGAAGAGTCCTTCATCCAACTGCGGTCATCCGCATACCTGCGAGCATAGGCGTCGGGCGCCTCCCCTCACCCTTCTGAGGGTTTCCAGAGAGTCTCCGCCGACCTCCTCGCCCTCGATCTCGCCGTCTCTCGGCCTTTCGGATCAGCGAATCCCAAAGCCCGAATTACACAACGAAGTCAAACCAGAAATTCTAGGTTCGGAAAACTCCAGGAGGAGGTTCGGTTCCAAATTTGGAATTTGATCGCATCTCCTCACCACTAAAAAAATTGGACCAATCGCGTGAATCTGGTGACAGTTTCTCAGCCGACTCGGTAATTCTGGGTGTGGCCTTTCAGTGGCAGTGATGTTTCGTGCTTCTGTTGGCAGTGACTACTTCAACTAGCATTATCCTTAGTAGCACAGGCCTCACACGATGCAGTCAGCAGCGGTGCTCTAATAACTGTACGAGATTCAATGATGTCTGCCACGCCTCGTTCCTCTGCCATGCGATGCCGCGTTGCGCCTCCGTGGCCACTGCGCCGCGCCGATGCAGCAGCGCTGCTTCTCCTTTGCGCGGCCCTCGCGCTCACTGCCACCGCCGATTGCTCCTTCTCTTCCGCCAACCACCCACTGCCACGGCCACAAGTCCCGCGTCGCCGAAATCAGCGCGCGCCGCCGTCTCTCCTTGCTCGGCCCACCCGCGCCCAGCGCGCGCTCCTCAAGCTCAACGCCGCCACCGCCGCCGCGGCCGCCGATTTCGAGGCGACTGACAGCGGCGATCATGCCGCCGCAAGGCCCGTGTCTCTGGAGGCGTCGCAACGTGAGCTCGCTGCCCTCGCGCTCGACCCGCTCCGCCCTCCTCCATGATATCCCTCACCTCACTCATCGCGAAAAAAATGAGAACACAAAAATGTGCACATTTGAGCATTTAATGTTCGAGAAAGCTGCGGAAAAACAACGACCAGCTGCGGAAAAGGAGACCTGTCTTGGATCTAGCCTGGGGGCCCCAGCGAAGTCGCTGTGCAGCCAAGAGAAATTGCGGTCCTTTCATTAGCACCGGCGGGAGACGGGTGTAGTAAAGCCTGCAAAATCCGCTGCGCCTCTGAATAAAAACCCCGTTTTAACCAAGTGCCGTCTAGCTGGGCGTTACTATGCCGTAGCACTAGGAGCCCAGTGCTGCAAGAGAGGTCCACGCTGGTACGCCGCACGCGCTGAGACACTCATCTGATTCACTTCCTTCCCTCTCCTTGTTCGGCCGCTCGCTGCACGTGCGCAGTGAGCGCGGTGGTGCAGGTGCAGCAGGCGTGGGGCGCGTGGGCGGGCAACAGCAACGACACCACTGCTTGCTCCGCGTGGCCTGGCGTCACGTGCAGCCCTAACGGACTCATCGTCGCATTGTGAGAGCCCTTGCCTCTCTCCCCCCACATTGCCCCCCATTGCCCTCCATTGCCCCACATGACCACTCCCACTGTTCACCACTCTACGACCACTTTATCGCGTACAATGCAACCCCTCCACTCATCGCGGTGCATCACCTGTTTTTGTTCTTGTTCTGAATGCGCTGGACTTGTGTGAACGGTGCCTGGTTGGTGGGGCCAAAAATTGGGAAGAGGCGGTTGCGTGGGATGGGGTAAGGGGTATGGAAGAGGAGGGGTAGGGGAAAGCGGGGAGGCGGGGCGGTGGGAGGGGATGGGTAGGGGCGTGGTGTGGTGTGGAGGGGTGGGAGCATGGCGTGGTTGTGTGCGTGTGGTGGGTGAGTGGCACTGGCAGGGATTCAAAGGCCGTATCGGTGGATCATGGCAGTGCTGCCATACCTGACTCCATCACCAATCTCGCCGCTCTCCAATACCTGTCCGTCCCCACCCACCCTCCCCGCCCACCCTCCCCGCCCACCCTCCCCGCTCGCCAAGCCATGCACTCTGCAATGCATGCACTGCACCACGGCATCACTCATTCGCCATGCTCCACCTTCCTTCCGCTGCAAAGTCTCTCCTGTTCTTGCCCTCGGCGGCCGTGCTTGCTCGCGTCCGTGCCCCGCCTCACCAGGAAGCTTCAAAGCAGCCATGACAATGCAGAGATTCCCCCATGTCGCCCCCCATGTCGCCCCCCATGTCGCCCCCCATGTCGCCCCCCATGTCGCCCCCCATGTCGCCCCCCATGTCGCCCCCCATGTCGCCCCCCATGTCGCCCCCCATGTCGCCCCCCATGTCGCCCCCCATGTCGCCCCCCATGTCGCCCCCCATGTCGCCCCCCATGTCGCCCCCCATGTCGCCCCCCATGTCGCCCCCCATGTCGCCCCCCATGTCGCCCCCCATGTCGCCCCCCATGTCGCCCCCCATGTCGCCCCCCATGTCGCCCCCCATGTCGCCCCCCATGTCGCCCCCCATGTCGCCCCCCATGTCGCCCCCCATGTCGCCCCCCATGTCGCCCCCCATGTCGCCCCCCATGTCGCCCCCCATGTCGCCCCCCATGTCGCCCCCCATGTCGCCCCCCATGTCGCCCCCCATGTCGCCCCCCATGTCGCCCCCCATGTCGCCCCCCATGTCGCCCCCCATGTCGCCCCCCATGTCGCCCCCCATGTCGCCCCCCATGTCGCCCCCCATGTCGCCCCCCATGTCGCCCCCCATGTCGCCCCCCATGTCGCCCCCCATGTCGCCCCCCATGTCGCCCCCCATGTCGCCCCCCATGTCGCCCCCCATGTCGCCCCCCATGTCGCCCCCCATGTCGCCCCCCATGTCGCCCCCCATGTCGCCCCCCATGTCGCCCCCCATGTCGCCCCCCATGTCGCCCCCCATGTCGCCCCCCATGTCGCCCCCCATGTCGCCCCCCATGTCGCCCCCCATGTCGCCCCCCATGTCGCCCCCCATGTCGCCCCCCATGTCGCCCCCCAATGTCGCCCCCCATGTCGCCCCCCATGTCGCCCCCCATGTCGCCCCCCATGTCGCCCCCCATGTCGCCCCCCATGTCGCCCCCCATGTCGCCCCCCATGTCGCCCCCCATGTCCGCCCCCCATGTCGCCCCCCATGTCGCCCCCCATGTCGCCCCCCATGTCGCCCCCCATGTCGCCCCCCATGTCGCCCCCCATGTCGCCCCCCATGTCGCCCCCCATGTCGCCCCCCATGTCGCCCCCCACTCGCTTCATAAGCCGCACCGCACCCGGCTGCCCCTGCTCGCTGCACTTGCACGCCTCAATTCTGCAGCAGTTGGTGTAGCAGCTGGGATGTGATCTGCACCGCCGAGGCATCGCCCTGCACGCCTCATTCCGCCTCCCGCCTGCCTTCGCTCCTGCTTCCTGCCTGCCCCTGCTCATTGCCCACAGGGACCTGACAAACGATCAGCTGGCGGGGCCCATCCCATCCCTCGCGAGCCTCACCAGCCTCACCCTCCTGTACGTGCCTCGCAGCCCCGCCTCTCCTGTACAGCTCGCTTCTCACAGCGAGTTGACTGTACGTGCCTCGCAGCCCCGCCTCCGCCATGGCCATGGCCCATGCAGTGCACTGCGCTCCTTCTCTCCTCTGCTGCCAAAGATTCGTATCGCTCTTGCTTGCTCCTTTCTCAGGGAGTTGATGTATTGTTCCACCGCTCCTCTGCACGTGCGGCATGGCTGAATGCATGTGCGGCATGGCTGACTGCATGTGCGGCATGACTGACTGCATGTGCGGCTTGACTGACTGCATGTGCGGCATGGCTGACTGCATGTGCGGCTTGACTGACTGCATGTGCGGCATGGCTGACTGCATGTGCGGCTTGACTGGCTGCATGTGCGGCTTGGCTGACTGCATGTGCGGCATGTCCTCAGAGCCATGGGAGCAGACGGCAGCCAGCTCACTGGCACTATTGAGGGACTGGCTTGGCTCTCCTCCCTCTCCAACCTGCACACACTGTACGCCGTGCACACTGCCCCACCCTGCTCACACACTTCACACTCCCTGCTCACACACTTCACACTCCCTGCTCACACACTTCACACTCCCTGCTCACACCTCACACTTCCTGCTCACACTTCACACTCCCTGCTCACACTTCACACACCCGCTGGCGTCATGCAGTTGGCACTCCCATTTTGTCTCCGGGCCACGCTGCCCTCATGTCATTGCCGCACGCCTCATCGCTCCAGCAACTCGTGCACAAGCGCTGTGTCGTGTCCCTCCCTCTTCTTTTCAGGCGCCTCAAAACACGACTTTTGAGGCGCCTCAAAACACGCCCCATCGCTCCAGCAACTCGTGCACATGCCCCGTGTCATGCCCCTCCCTCCGCCCGCTCCATGGCTTCTCACACCACAACCCTCCAACCACCAACCATCAACCACCAGGAATCTTTTTGGCTTGTCGGAATTCACAGGGGATTTGTCCTCTCTGCACATTCTCTCTCACCTGGAAAAGCTTCAAAGCCTGTAAGCTCGATTCCAGCTTGTAAGCTCGATTCCAGCCTGTAAGCCTGTAAGCCTGGTGCTGCCTCAATGCTGCAACTGGTGTAGTTCATGTCCGTCAGTGTGTGAACTGACTTCCTGGCCGCCTCTCTCACTGTGCGCTGGTAGTGTTGTCTCCCTTCCGTGCATGTGCATGTGCTTGTGCATGTGCGTGTGCGTGTGCGTGTGCATGTGCATGTGCATGTGCATGTGCATGTGCATGTGCGTGTGCGTGTGCGTGTGCGTGTGCGTGTGCATGTGCATGTGCATGTGCATGTGCATGTGCATGTGCGTGTGCGTGTGCGTGTGCTTGTGCATGTGCATGTGCATGTGCATGTGCATGTGCATGTGTGCAGGACACTCAGTTCGTTCACCAATGCCACGGGGGAGATACCCAGGGAGATCCGATACCTCACGGCGCTCACTGCACTGTAAGCTGACCTGCACACGGGTCCAAGAGTAGATCATATGATGAAGCACGCTTCATCACGTGCCCCATCAGATTTTCACTGACTGCCTGCTCCTGGGGCATGAGTCCAGCCCTATGCTATGCCCTTATCCTTATGCCACCCCCTTGCATTCCCCCTTGCATTCTCCCCTGCAGCGATTTGTCGTACCTTCGGGCATTGGAGTTTCCTGACTGGGTGACTCACCTCGCCACCCTTCAGCATCTGTGAGCTCCTCCTACCGCACACCGTTCTTTGCCTTTGCCACACACCTACCGCCCTTGCTGCTGCACACAACACACCACGCACCAGAACCATGCATACCACGGCAGTGATCTCGCCGTGTCTAAATTTGGGTTCTGGAGAGTCTCACGGGCCTGCCCTTGCCCCCCTGCCCTTGCCCCCCTGCCCTTGCCCCCCTGCCCTTCCCCCCCTGCCCTTGCCCCCCTGCCCTTGCCCCCCTGCCTTGCCCCCCTGCGCTTGCCCCCCTGCCCTTGCCCCCCTGCCTTGCCCCCCTGCGCTTGCCCCCCTGCCCTTGCCCCCCTGCCCTTGCCCCCCTGCCTTGCCCCCCTGCGCTTGCCCCCCTGCCCTTGCCCCCCTGCCTTGCCCCCCTGCCCTTGCCCCCCTGCCCTTGTCCCCCTGCCCTTGCCCCCCTGCCCTCGTCCTCCTGCCCTTGCTCCCCTGCCTTTGTCCCCCTGCCCTTGCCCCCCTGCCCTCGTCCTCCTGCCCTTGCTCCCCTGCCTTTGTCCCCCAACCGTTGTCCCCCTGCCTTGCATGCAGCAACGTGAATGCGGACGAGCCGCGGCGGCAGGGGTTGTTGTCGGATGACATATCGCACCTCACAGCGCTCACCTCGCTGTGAGTGCAGCGCGCCAAGTCCACAACCCTCAGTCACAAGACATGAATGAGCCAAAGGGCAAGGCATGTCACAACCCTTTCGTGTATGCGTGTGGGAATGAATAACTAGGCCCATTGCTGCACCTGCTCCAGTCGGAGAGACCACCAGGCAGGCAGGGGGGTGTGCTGTGCTGTGCTGCACTGGACAGGACAGCACGTTCCAGCCACTTCTGCGCAAGTCCCTCCCTCTTGTGTTACCCTCGTGTTGTGCCCTGCATCTTGTGCCTGCTGACACGCACGGCAGATCCCTCAAAGGCAACAATCTGGAGGGCTACGTGCCTAAGACCTGCTCCTCTCTCCTCAACCTGCAATACCTGTGAGCCTCTGCCTGCTGTGCCGTGCTGCCGTGCTCCCATGCTGTCATCCCCCCCTCCCATGAGCCCATGCTGTCATCCCCTCCTCCCATGAGCCCATGCTGTCATCCTTCCCCCATGCTGTCATTCTTCTGTGCCCCCATGCTGTCGTCCTCCCATGGTGTTGTTACCAATCCGTTAAGCTGTCACTCAGTGAATGCCTATCTCATCAACCCCAACACTTACCTGCGTTTGTAATTCGGAGCCCTACCTTCATCTCGTTTCAGGGCTTTGAATGACAACCATCTTCAAGGCACCATCCCTGCCACCCTCTCTGCCCTCACAGCCCTCACTGCAATGTAATTTCCCAGCATGCACGTCGCTTCGCTCACCAACTCGTTTCGACCTCTGCACTCTCACCATCTCGTTTCTCACGCCTGACTCGCCCTCTTCGTTATGCGCTGCACCCGCCGTTCTTTCTGCCCCCCTCCCACTGCAGAGACCTCTCATGGAATCATCTGTCTGGTTCCATCCCCCATGCCTTCACTACCAACATCCAGAGCATGTACGTCAAGCCCGCACCAGGATATACTTCACCGCGCCTCTCCTCTCTCCCTCAACCTCCAGCCCCCAAACTTACAATCTTTGCTTTCCTCTTCCTCCTCTGTAGACCCTCATGCTCCCCTCTCTCCCTCTCTTGCCTCCACCCCCCCTCTTCATTCCTCCTCCCTTGTCGTTTTCTCTGACTCCTCAAGGGGTTCTGCCCATGTTCGGTACCCCTGCATTTTTCGATTATCCATGGCCTTTTCCCCCCCTTTCTTTACTTGCTTCTCCCCTCTTTCTCCAATCATTGCACATTCCGTTTTTTTTTTGAAACACCATTATAATAATCTAGAGGAGTCACCTCCCCTTCCTATCCAGAGCACTTGGTTACAACGCCTTTAGTGGCCCCATCCCGCCTCACCTTGCACTGCCCCAACTCACTTCCCTGTAAGCCCCATTCCTCTCTGCGCTGCTTCCTTGCACTCATGTCTGCATCCCGTGCAGTGCAGTTGCACCCTTTGCTCTCTGTCCTCAGTTCTCCCCCTGGGTCCATGCGCCCTTCTCTGTGCCCTTGCCCTTGCCCTTGCCCTTGCCTCTTCATGCCCCAACTCTCTCTCCGCATACCTGCTGAGCGGCCCACCTGTGTCTGCAGGCAGCTGTCCAGCAATGGGTTCACGGGCGCCATTCCCAGCACATTCACCCGCCTCACCGCCATGAGTATGCTGTACGCCTCACCCACGTGCCTGCATCCCACGTGCCTGCATCCCACGTGCCTGCATCCCACGTGCCTGCATCCCACGTGCCTGCATCCCTCATGCCTGCATCCCTCATGCCTGCATCCCTCATGCCTGCATCCCTCATGCCTGCATCCCTCATGCCTGCATCCCTCTCATGCCTGCATCCCTCATGCCTTCATCCCTCATGCCTGCATCCCTCATGCCTGCATCCCTCATGCCTGCATCCCACGTGCCTGCATCCCCCGTGCCTGCATCCCCCGTGCCTGCATCCCCCGTGCATCCCCCGTGCCTGCATCCCCCGTGCCTGCATCCCCCGTGCCTGCATCCCAGGGACGCGAGCAACAACAGTCTGAGTGCAGGCTTGGATGTGGTGGCGCAGATGACATGGCTCACTGACATGTGAGCGCCTACCCTCCTCCCCGCCTCACCTGCCTCATTATTGCGTGCGAAAGCTGGCCCTCCCCTTCCCTCCTTGCTGGGCCTTAGGGTTGAGAAAGAGGCGAACATGTCACCTGGGTGAACCGAACATGTTCGGTTCGCCGCACAAAGGGTGAACACAAAGGGTGTTCGCCCCGAGCATGAGCATGTTCGTGCTCGCATTCTCAGCAGCATTTTTTTATAATCACATCGACCAGTTTAGTGGATTTCGGCGTTCCTAATGGCGGTGTTAGACCTGGTGGGCGGTGTTGGACCTGGTGGAAGTTTGGGATAGTACGAAAGTAGTAGCAAACAGTTAATGTTACTGACGCCAATCCTAAACTAGTCTAGGATAGAAGAAAAAGGCTGTGGCAACGCAAATAATTAGAGTTCAAGGAAAGCTTAGGGATGGCGCTAAGAGTCTTGGTGTGCCTTAGCCTGAAATTGAACTCAGGAATGAGGTCGACGAAGTGAATCAATCGACCTAAAAAACGGGGTCGGGAGACCTTTCGGGCGAACACAATTGTGTTCGCCCCTAGGGTCCTGCGAACACGAATATGCTCGTCTCCAGCCTCGGCCCAGGAAATCGCGACGAACCGAACACGAGCGTTTTCGCCCCGAACTCTTTAAGTTCACCTCGAACACGTTCCAGGCGAACCAAACACATGTTCACTTGGATGCTCATGCCTACTGGGCCTCCCCTTCCCTCCCTCCCGCCGTCGGCTCACTGCAAGTGGCAACACCTGAGCCCCTCTGTCAATTGTGTGCCCTGCAGAAGCCTCCACACCAACAACTTCTCCGGGGTGCTTCCAGCGACCCTCTCTGCCATCAAGGGGCTTGTCTTCATGTCAGTCTGCTCCATCCATCCCTCGCTCACTCACTCACTCACTCACCTCCTCCATGCAGAAAAGAACTTTTATGTGTTCGTGGGGCATGCAGTAGGGAAACGTGCACATGTGTTATCATGGTTGCACGCACGTGCGTGCATAGTTGTGCGTGGCCGGTGCATGAGGGCCCGCGGACATGTTACTCACTCGCATGCCCAAATGCACCTGTGTGTGCGTGTCTGCATGCCTCTCGTCCTCTTCCCACCACATGTTCCTTGGGCGTGCATCAGAAGCATCGCTAACAACCACTTCTCGGAAAAATTTCCCAACCCTCTTCTGCACACCCACCACCTTGCTGTACTGTGAGTGAGACACGCTCTCACGGTTGTGTACAATGGTGGTTCACAATGGGTATTACATGTCGAATCCTTTCTATAATTGACATATTGGCAACGCAAACGTTTTCTTCTCGTGCCACCACTGAAGGCAGCTGTCGCAACCCCTCTGACATGGTGATGGCGTTGGCATTGGCGGTGGCAGGGATGTGAGCAACAACAGCTTCTCCGGATCCATCCCTTTGCAATTGACCAAGCTACTGCAGCTGGAGGACATGTGGGCTCAACAGGATATCAGCGCTTGTTCACACTGTTCCCGTAGACCTGGTCTTACTTCAGAAAGCTGCTTCGTAAACCCACTCGAGTCTTGGCAATGGTGCTCCCAAGCTCTTTCGTCAACCGAGCTGCATAGCCAAGCCTGTTCCCTGTTCGTGCCCAGCCTATATCAGCGCTTGTTTGTTCACGATTTGAAAATTTCTATCTTACGTGTTCAATCCAGAGGTGCAAGTTTTGAATTTCTCCCATGGGCTCGACTGTTGCACTCTGTCGTCGCTGCTGCGTGACTCGGCCAGCAATCTCAATGACAACAAGTTCCATGGATCAATCCCGATTGGCCTCTTCCACCTCCCCACGCTTTACTCACTGTGAGTAGCTCCATCCATGGCGGCCATTGCTTGCAGTGCAGATTGCAATACTCAGCAGTCTAATGTGAGTTTCCTGAATCCAATACAGAAAGCTGATCTTGATCCTTGGGTGCTTAATACTCATTTCTTATGAGACTTCCTTGCATCTCTTCATTCTTCACCTTGGCATTCCCTTTCTCGGCTTCAAGTCTGGCAGTGGGTCATAATGCATGCCAGCAACAACCACTTCCCTCTGTCTCCACTCCTTCCCAATGCAGGCAAGTGGCAAACAACTTTCTTTCCGGAAACCTTCCAGTGACGCTTAGAGCCTCCTCCACACTTACCACGCTGTAAGCAGCGCCGCCACTCGCTGTGCTGCCACCACTCGCTGTGCTGCCACCACTCGCTGTGCTGCCACCACTCGCTGTGCTGCCACCACTCGCTTGCTGCCGCTGTGTCATCTTGCTCTCCGTGGTCATGTCTTTCCGTTGCACCGTGTGCGTGCAGTAGCTTTGCAGGAAACGGCTTCACGGGCTCCTTGCCAGACTTCTCGCAGTGGAAGGGCAGCTTTAAAACGCTGTAAGCTTCTTCCTCTCCCTCTCCCCCTTTCCAACCTTCCTTCCTTCCCCCCGCTCTTTCTTCTTCCTGTCTCAAACCCGTCTCGTTTTTTCTTGACAAATCTGTGTTCCTCCCGTTTGCCATCTTTGTTCTCACTAGCTCTTGTCTTGCCTCTATCACGTGTCTCACATGTCTTGGGTTTGTGTGTGCCATGCCCCATGCATGAGTGCTGTTGGTCATGCAGGGCGCTGAGCAACAACAACTTCACAGGGCTCATTCCTGACTCCATCTCCACGCTCTCCACTCTGGAGGCCATGTGAGCCTCGTCTGCTGTTGCGCCCTCACCTCACCACATGCCATGCCCCTCACCACATGCCATGCCCGTCACCACATGCCATGCCCGTCACCACATGCCATGCCCGTCACCACATGCCATGCCCCTCACCACACCGCATGCCCCTTACCATATTCCCACCTGCATCTGCGGAGTGTAGTCTTCTCACCCAGAGGGAGTTCAGGGAGAACACTGGCAGGGCCAGGCTAGCACCTAGCAGCAGCTGCAATGAATCATGCGCTCTGTGCTTGCAATGAATCATGTGCTCTGTGCTTGCGATGAATCATGCGCTCTGTGCTTGCAATGAATCATGCGCTCTGTGCTTGCAATGAATCATGTGCTCTGTGCTTGCAATGAATCATGTGCTCTGTGCTTGCAATTAATCATGTGCTCTGTGCTTGCGATGAATCATGCGCTCTGTGCTTGCAATGAATCATGCGCTCTGTGCTTGCAATGAATCATGTGCTCTGTGCTTGCAATGAATCATGTGCTCTGTGCTTGCAATGAATCATGTGCTCTGTGCTTGCAATGAATCATGCGCTCTGTGCTTGCAATGAATCATGTGCTCTGTGCTTGCAATGAATCATGCGCTCTGTGCTTGCAATGAATCATGCGCTCTGTGCTTGCAATGAATCATGTGCTCTGTGCTTGCAATGAATCATGCGCTCTGTGCTTGCAATGAATCATGTGCTCTGTGCTTGCAGTGAATCATGCGCTCTGTGCTTGCAATGAATCATGCGCTCTGTGCTTGCAATGAATCATGTGCTCTGTGCTTGCAATGAATCATGCGCTCTGTGCTTGCAATGAATCATGTGCTCTGTGCTTGCAGTGAATCATGTGCTCTGTGCTTGCAATGAATCATGTGCTCTGTGCTTGCAATGAATCATGTGCTCTGTGCTTGCAATGAATCATGTGCTCTGTGCTTGCAATGAATCATGTGCTCTGTGCTTGCAATGAATCATGCGCTCTGTGCTTGCAATGAATCATGCGCTCTGTGCTTGCAATGAATCATGCGCTCTGTGCTTGCAATGAATCATGTGCTCTGTGCTTGCAGTGAATCATGTGCTCTGTGCTTGCAATGAATCATGTGCTCTGTGCTTGCAATGAATCATGTGCTCTGTGCTTGCAATTAATCATGTGCTCTGTGCTTGCAATGAATCATGCGCTCTGTGCTTGCAATGAATCATGTGCTCTGTGCTTGCGATGAATCATGCGCTCTGTGCTTGCAATGAATCATGCGCTCTGTGCTTGCAATGAATCATGCGCTCTGTGCTTGCAATGAATCATGTGCTCTGTGCTTGCGATGAATCATGCGCTCTGTGCTTGCAATGAATCATGCGCTCTGTGCTTGCAATGAATCATGTGCTCTGTGCTTGCAATGAATCATGTGCTCTGTGCTTGCAATTAATCATGTGCTCTGTGCTTGCGATGAATCATGCGCTCTGTGCTTGCAATGAATCATGCGCTCTGTGCTTGCAATGAATCATGTGCTCTGTGCTTGCAATGAATCATGTGCTCTGTGCTTGCAATGAATCATGTGCTCTGTGCTTGCAATGAATCATGCGCTCTGTGCTTGCAATGAATCATGTGCTCTGTGCTTGCAATGAATCATGCGCTCTGTGCTTGCAATGAATCATGCGCTCTGTGCTTGCAATGAATCATGTGCTCTGTGCTTGCAATGAATCATGCGCTCTGTGCTTGCAATGAATCATGTGCTCTGTGCTTGCAGTGAATCATGCGCTCTGTGCTTGCAATGAATCATGCGCTCTGTGCTTGCAATGAATCATGTGCTCTGTGCTTGCAATGAATCATGCGCTCTGTGCTTGCAATGAATCATGTGCTCTGTGCTTGCAGTGAATCATGTGCTCTGTGCTTGCAATGAATCATGTGCTCTGTGCTTGCAATGAATCATGTGCTCTGTGCTTGCAATGAATCATGTGCTCTGTGCTTGCAATGAATCATGTGCTCTGTGCTTGCAATGAATCATGCGCTCTGTGCTTGCAATGAATCATGTGCTCTGTGCTTGCAGTGAATCATGTGCTCTGTGCTTGCAATGAATCATGTGCTCTGTGCTTGCAATGAATCATGTGCTCTGTGCTTGCAGTGAATCATGCGCTCTGTGCTTGCAATGAATCCTGCGCTCTGTGCTTGCAATGAATCATGTGCTCTGTGCTTGCAATGAATCATGCGCTCTGTGCTTGCAATGAATCATGTGCTCTGTGCTTGCAGTGAATCATGTGCTCTGTGCTTGCAATGAATCATGCGCTCTGTGCTTGCAATGAATCATGTGCTCTGTGCTTGCAATGAATCATGCGCTCTGTGCTTGCAATGAATCATGTGCTCTGTGCTTGCAGTGAATCATGTGCTCTGTGCTTGCAATGAATCATGTGCTCTGTGCTTGCAATGAATCATGTGCTCTGTGCTTGCAATTAATCATGTGCTCTGTGCTTGCAATGAATCATGTGCTCTGTGCTTGCAATGAATCATGCGCTCTGTGCTTGCAATGAATCATGTGCTCTGTGCTTGCGATGAATCATGCGCTCTGTGCTTGCAATGAATCATGCGCTCTGTGCTTGCAATGAATCATGTGCTCTGTGCTTGCAATGAATCATGTGCTCTGTGCTTGCAATGAATCATGTGCTCTGTGCTTGCAATGAATCATGTGCTCTGTGCTTGCGATGAATCATGTGCTCTGTGCTTGCAATGAATTATGTGCTCTGTGCTTGCGATGAATCATGTGCTCTGCCCTTCCCATGCCTCTGCAGCATACTGGACAGCAACCAACTGACGGGGACCATTCCAGCTGCCATTTTCAAAATGACGAATCTAGAATCCATGTGAGTCTTAAGTACCCATCTAGTGACGGATTTTGGGTTTTAAGACGAGCCATTGCACCTCATTTCCCCTACTGTGATCACGCTGCTTTCCTTTGTCAACCTAGGCTGCTCTCCAATATGCTGCTCTTGCTCACAGCAGTCGCTTCCCTCCATACTACCCTCCGTACCCCCCTCTATAACCCCCCCCTCTATGCGCCCCTCCATGCTCTACAGCTACCTAGCCAACAACCGTTTGAGCGGCAGTCTGCCGTCTGCCATCAGTCGCTTAAGGAAGCTCCAACAGATGTGAGGGCCCTCCCTGCCTGCCCTCCCTGCCTGCCCTCCCTGCCTGCCCTCCCTGCCTGCCCTCCCTGCCTGCCCTCCCTGCCTGCCCTCCCTGCCTGCCCCCTGCCTGCCTCCTGCCTGCCCTCCCTGCCTGCCCTCCTTGCCTGCCCTCCCTGCGTGCCCTCCCTGCCTGCCCTCCCTGCCTGCCCTCCCTGCCTGCCCTCCCTGCCTGCCCTCCCTGCCTGCCCTCCCTGCCTGCCCTCCCTACCACCACCCAGCAGTCTCCCAACCACCACCCAATGATCTTGATTCTCCTCCTCATGCCTAGATGCGTGCCAAGCTGTCCGCCCTGCCAAACCCACCCATGTTGTGTGCCTTCTCTACTTTCCCCACTACACTCTGATGCTCTCGTGCCTCTGCTTCTGCCCCTGCTTCTGCCCCTTCTTCTGCCCCTGCTTCTGCCCCTGCTTCTGCCCCTGCTTCTGCCCCTGCTTCTGCCCCTGCTTCTGCCCCTGCTTCTGCCCCTGCTTCTGCCCCTGCTTCTGCCCCTGCTTCTGCCCCTGCTTCTGCCCCTGCTTCTGCCCCTGCTTCTCCCCCTGCTTCTGCCCCTGCTTCTGCCCCTGCTTCTGCCCCTGCTTCTGCCCCTGCTTCTGCCCCTGCTTCTGCCCCTGCTTCTGCCCCTGCTTCTGCCGCTGCTTCTGCCCCTGCTTCTGCCCCTGCTTCTGCCCCTGATTCTGCCCCTGCTTCTGCCCCTGCTTCTCCCCCTGCTTCTGCCCCTGCTTCTGCCCCTGCTTCTGCCCCTGCTTCTGCCCCTGCTTCTGCCCCTGCTTCTGCCCCTGCTTCTGCCCCTGCTTCTGCCCCTGCTTCTGCCCCTGCTTCTGCCCCTGCTTCTGCCCCTGCTTCTGCCCCTGCTTCTGCCCTGCTTCTGCCCCTGCTTCTGCCCCTGCTTCTGCCCCTGCTTCTGCCCCTGCTTCTGCCCCTGCTTCTGCCTCTGCTTCTGCCCCTGCTTCTGCCCCCGCCTGCCCGCCCCAGCTGGCTGGACAACAACAGCATCGAGGGCCCTCTGCCGTCTGCCATCTGCTCGCTGCCCTGGCTGTGGCGCATGTGAGTGGCTGTGGCGCATGTGAGTGGCTGTGGCGCATGTGAGTGGCTGTGGCGCATGTGAGTGGCTGTGGCGCATGTGAGTGGCTGTGGCGCATGTGAGTGGCTGTGGCGCATGTGAGTGGCTGTGGCGCATGTGAGTGGCTGTGGCGCATGTGAGTGGCTGTGGCGCATGTGAGTGGCTGTGGCGCATGTGAGTGGCTGTGGCGCATGTGAGTGGCTGTGGCGCATGTAAGTGGCTGTGGCGCGTGTGAGCGGCTGTGGCGCATATGAGTGGCAAGCATATGCTTCTTGGAGTGACACGGGGATGTTCAGGCATTGGTCCGGCCAGGCGGATCGTAGCATTTGAATGAATGCAAGCTGTGAGCAGTACACAGACACGGGTGTGGAGGGGGTGCTGGTATTGTGGTCAAGTACAAGCAAGCCCTGGGTGCATGAGGCACCCCTTGTGTGCCTGAATTCTACCAGGAGCAGCTGTTCAGAGCAGCAGCTCTGGTGGAATAGGAGAGGCTCGAGAAAGGCACGGCTGGGTCCCGTTGACAAGAGCGAGAGCCTTGCAACTTGCAAGCAGTGCTATTCTTGCTAGAACTGTATGCATGGAGGTGAGGTGACACGTGCACTGGGTAAGACTGCCACACAAGCCAAATAGACAATTTGACGCTCGTGTGAGTTGCTTGACACCAACTATCGCAAGCAAGTAGCATGCCCATCCATCCAGGTGGCGCAAGTGTGCGCCACGTCTTATCGTATATCTACTTATCTTACTTCTCTTGCTTGTCTTGGCTTATCTTGGCTTCTCGTCAAGTCCTTCAGTCGTTCAATGCGGTTCCGTATGGTGTGACTCGTGGTGGTGCGTGCATGGCATGGCATGGCATGAGTTGTGCTGGCAGCATGGTGAGCAACAACCATCTCTACGGGCCTCTGCCAGACTGCCTCTTCGACAAATGCATCAACCAGATGTGAGCCCACCTGCTTACTTCATCCATCCCCACTACCAAATAGTGCTGCGAGGCATGCTGCTCACTGGTGCTGCGAGGCATGCTGCTCACGGTCAGGTGCAAAGAGTGGTGAGTGGCATGCATTTGTCAGGTGGGGCTTTCAGCTCGCTCTAGCGAACCATTCGTACCCGCGCGCCCGTCCTCTGTCCCACCTGCAGCGACGTGAGCAACAACAGCCTGTACGGGCATGTGAGCCGCAACTTCAACAGCATGGTAGCAGACAGCGAGGCCCTCATCAACCTCGCACACAACTTCTTCTACGGAGATGCAGTGCTCTTTGCCGCGGGCTGCCAGGTGTGCCCCGAGGAGATCACCCAGCGCAACCAACTGATTCTGGACGACAGCAGCGTGGCGCTAGCAGGGAAGTGCAGCGACGCCGGCTACTCTGGCCTGCGAGACTACTCAGTGGCGGGGGCAGGCAAGGGCGCCAGGGGGAGTCTCGCAGGCAACTGTCTGACTGTCAATCGGGACGTCAAGTGCCCGTCCAACGCCACTCAGCGCAGCACGGCAGCCTGCCAGGCGTTCTGCAGCATCACTGACAACGGCCCGTGTGACGGCCATGGGGCGTGCGTGCCGCCTGCACCGGCCGCCCAGGCCAACTTCACGTGCGCGTGCGATGCCGGGTACTCTCCAGTGGACGTGGGCAACGGCTCCACGTGCGCCATCGTCAATGCCACCACCACCAACTGTGAGGCACCCCCTCACACACACCTGTATAGCCCCCTCTGGAGCCCATGCTGTGCTCACTTCACATGTCCCCCCTGCAGGTCTCACTCACATGGCACATCTCCAATTCCATCTCCTCCACTCCCCGCCTCTTTTTCCCCCATCCCCCCTGCTTACCCCGTGCCAGTGTTGTCGCTGTCAACAGGTGCCATCGTGGGCATTGCTGTGGGTTGCTTTGCCGGCTTCACTCTGCTCACCGCTGTGCTCGCCTGGCTACTGTGGCCCCGTGGACAGAGTAAGACCGCCAACAATGCTCCCATGTCATCCCTCCCGTTCCTGCACCTCTTTCCCGTCCGCCCTGCACCCCCACCCTGCCACCATTCCTGCACTACACCCCACCCTACCTGCCGCCCCCACCTCTGCACTACCTTTCCCTACTCTGCCCACTCGCTCAAGCCCTTGCTGAATGCGCGTTGCTGCATGGCCTCGCACCATGCACCCCACCTCACCGTGCTCTGTGGGTGTGTAGGGAAATGGAAAGGGCTGGACGTGTGCGAGCAGTTCTCACTGCAGGAGCTCGTGAAGGCCACAGATAACTGGGCGAGTGACAACGTGCTAGGGAAGGGCGGCTTTGCCACCGTGTACAAGGGGTGCTCGCCGCAGGGGCAGCTGTGGGCAGTGAAGCGCTCCACTGTCATGACCAACGACTTTGAGACGGAGGTCAGCGTCTGCCTTGCAGTGCTGTGACTGACTGTACCATGGCTCTTCTCTCACCATGCAGCCACAGCACCGTGGCACTGCGGGTCCAACGTGCTCTTTAAAAAGCTCAGCTGCTTCTGCTGTACTGGAAGCAAGCAAGCGCTGTCGGACCCTGCAACTCGCGTTCTGTCTTCCCTTATCACTGTGTGCTGTGCGGCGCATGCAGGTGCGTGCCATGGCATCGCTGCACCATGTGAACCTGGTGCGCCTGCTGGGCTTCTGCCAGGATCTGAACGTGGAGACGGGCAAGCAGGAGCAGATCCTCGTGTACGAGTTTGTGGCCAACCGAGACCTGCAACACCACCTCTACAAGTCCGAGAGTCAGTTGCCCTCGCACCAACTTACCAAGTTGCTACCCATGTGCGCTTTAGTAAACAATGTCAAAAGTTGCTAAAATGCAAAAAACACACTTTCTGTCTGCCTCTCGTGGTCTCCCTTCCAGACCCTCTCTCGCTGCGCCAGAGGCTGTGCCTGGCGCAAGGAGCAGCGGAGGGCCTGGCGTACCTGCATGGGTTTGCGATGCCCGTCATCCACCGCGACATCAAGCCCGCCAACATCCTCGTGTCAGCCGACATGCACGCCAAGGTCGCAGACTTTGGGCTGCTCAAGCTGCTCACTCACGGCGATGCTGCTGCCACCCGAGTGGCGGGGACGCCCGGCTATGTGGATCCAGACTACAACCGCTCCAACGTCATCACGGCCAAGAGCGATGTCTTCAGGTGCGCGTGGATGGATGGCGTTCTGCCAGCTCACAACATACTGCAACATTGATGTCTTTAATGTGTCCGAAATATAGCTTTCGCAGGAATGTCTTTGTTGCTGGTCGTCGTTTTGTGCAGCCATTTCCATGTCTCCCTGTGCGCCTGCTTGCAGCTTCGGCATTGTGCTCCTGGAGTTGCTGAGTGGAACGCCACCCACTTTTCACCGTGCAACCCATATCAAGAACTGGGTATGCCCATCCTAGATTCGATCGTGGCACTGCCCCTTGCACCACATTTTCTCTATACCATGCTACATCGCACCTACCGTGCCGCCTTGCTCCTTTTCTTTTTACTGCACTACCTTGAGCCATTTCCTATTTATTATGCCCTTTTGCTCCGCCATTGGTTCAGGCGCGGCAGAGGGTGGATGCGTATGAGTTTGACGAGCTCAAGGACAGCAAACTGGAGGCCAGTGAGGAGGCCGTGGTGGACTTTGCTGACCTGGCACTGGACTGCATAAAGGCGCCGGGCACACGCCGCCCCGACATGAAGGACGTGGCATACCGCCTCCGTGCCCTCATTGACAAGCACTGCCCTGACAAGGAGGAGTGGGAGTGTGGTAGAGAAGAGAGTGTAAGCACCGGAGGGGAGTCGTTTGCCATGGACTATTCCGCTGTTGGGAGCTCGTTGTTCAGCTCGTTTTTCGGCCCGATAGTGTCATGAGTTGGCTGGGGCTGTGGTTGTGTTATGGTTACTGAGCCGTCACTTCTATGTGCATTGCATCCAGACAAGGGAACGTAGCACCCTTCAGAACACATGACATGACCATTTTTGATAATATACTGTATTCTCCCGGATACAAGCCCCGTAATTCATTTGCCCCGGGGCTTAACATGACAAAAAGAGGCGATAGAGGTGCAGGCCTATGTTAGGCGCATGATTATATCTGCTCCTCGATTTGTGTGCAAGGTTCAGTTTTCAGTTTTTTATATAACTGCTTTTATACATCACAATTTCATTTAGTCAAGCAAGGATAAGAACACAAAGAATCTCATTCACTAAATTGCATGCATGGAGATTGGGAGGCTCCTAAAGCTACCTGAAAATTGCATAACCTGCAATCTACTCAGCGGTGGCAGTAGCATAATCAGCATCATCCTTATCATCTGACTCGGGCTCGGTAACGGTATTGGTGAAGAAGCTGTCAGCAGCCGCATTGTCAGTGACTTGAACTTCTCCAGGGAAGCTGCATCTCCTATGCACCATGCAAAGATGGTCTTATGCGCCATCCATGGCGTTGATTATCCTGCAGATGAGGAAGGCCTTCAAGACCAGGGAGGTAGGCACCGCTTTCCAAACCTTGCGTCTGCTTAGGTGGAAGCATCTTGAAGTTTGTCACAAAAAAACGTAAAGACTTGATTTACGTTACCTATGACAGAATGGAGATCGCGACCAAGGAGGTGTATTCGCTAGCGGAGTGGGCAATAACGAAGCGAGGATGGAGATGGAATAGTGACAGCTGGTGTTACAGCCTGGATGAAAAGGGTTGGGGGTCAGGAGTCATGGAAACGGTGCGCGTGTACAGTGATGGCAGCCAAAGGTTGGGGTTTCACGAGCTGAAGGGATGATGGATGGAGTAGCACCAGTGGATGGGGGCAGCGAAGAATCAAGGGTGGGAATCACCCGTTGTACATAAGTAGGCTCCGTTGCATGGTGACGATTGAATGCATGTCGGATGGTGTATGTGTTTGTTGTTTGCGTGTGCTTGATTGCTGGCGTGTGTGTGCAGGTTCAGGCCTCAGGCCTCCCACCACGCCCACAGCAGTGAATCGGTAGCTAGCAAGATTCCTCAATGTACATAGGAGCTAGCGTAACCTGTATTCCCTGCTTGTTTTTTTTTGTTTTCTTGCTATATTGGAGTGGCATGTGCAAGTTTTCCGAGCATTAGCTAGCCAGTTTGAGAAACCAGTCGATGGGTTAGGGAGTTTTTCGAGAAACAAACAAGGAGGGAGCTGCTGTATGCAGCTGAGATCTGAGCGAACGTACCTGCCAGAAAAGCCTGGGGGTAACGAGACGTCGGACGAGATGCACGAAGAAGGGGGCACGGGAACCCGCGGAGCCGGCGGGGACGGGAAGAGCGTCGGTCGGGTCCGGTATGGAGGAAGGCGAAATATACCGCATCCCATCGTGGCGACGGAGTCAGGGAGACCTGATCCCTAGCGTAAGGGAGGACGCATCACGTCTCGCTAGTGGTTCGGAAAGCGGACGACTGGAGTGCGCCGGTTCCGTGGAACGGCAACGTTGGTCGGATTTGGAGACAGGAGAAGGCCATGAAGTATGGAGGGAAGGTGCATCGGGCCGGCAGGCAGAGAAGTGGCGCTACAAATCTGCCAGAGATAAAGGTCCCCGAGAGATTCGTCGGGCAAGCGGGAGTGGGAGCCGATCAACGCAACTACCTGATGCAGATCGACAACGTACGGTACCGGTGGACGCGGGATGGGCTGGAAGCGGAGGAGTTCTTCCGAGGCTTATTCAACACACTGGCGGGCGAAGCAGAGACATATTACCGCATCACCAGAGAAGATGTGATTGAGAAGTATCGCGATCGAGCGGGGCATGCTTGGGGCATCGTCGACAAATTTCTGGAAAACCTCAAGCGGCAATTCCCGATGCAGACGTCCAAGAAGGTGCAACAGTTCGCGCATTTCAAATGGAGAGACGAGGAGTCGCTGCTGAGTTACTATGGGCGCCTTAAAGAGTTAGCGTTGGACATGGAGTGCACTGATGAGCGTCGCCTGATCAGCAAGTTTCCTGAATGGCTTGGACAAGAACATGGTCAAGGATCTGCACGGGAAAGTTTTCGAGATGGGGTGGAAGGCGACGCTGCATCAGGTGTACGACTTGGCGTGCCGCTATGAGATAGGACTGAAACTGTACGAGCTGGAAAAGGCGGAAAGCGGTGGCGCAGAACGACGTTGAGGAGTATAGATGGCCAGCCCCCAGGGAAAGGCAAGAGTACGCGACACGAGCCCAGTCGCAGATCGAAGGCAATGCCCTCGATGTGGACAAGTCGTACACATTCAGAGGGATTGCACGCACAAGCCCCCCGGTGCGATACGTGCGGAGAGACGGGACACCTGCGCCGTGACTGTCCGAAGAGTCCAACGTGCAAGAACTGCGGAAGGAAGGGGCACAAGGAGGCAGATTGCTACGCCAAACGCCCACCAAAAGGGAAAAGCAAGAGCCGGGGCGAGATCGAAGAAGAGATGCGGAAGCTACGCGAGCTGCTGGAGGAAATGGGGGGAGAGGAAAGAGGCACGCGGGCAATGTTCGTGGGAGCGGAAGACGAAGAAGACGCGAAGAGTCACGCGTCGTTTGCGCTCATGGCAAGGCCGGGGACCAGGCGCGAGGCGAACCACCAACGTGGAGATGGCCTGCTACAAGCGGGAATACCGGGCGGAGGTTATGTGTGTGAGCAACTTAGCGAGGAGGACCCTGAATTAGAAGACGAAGCCTTCTGACAGAAGGGTGAGGGTCCCTCCCTCTCTCTTCTGGTGGGCCGCAGGGCTCGCACACTGGAAGGGCTAAGGATCGAAAGAGATCCCCCCTTCCGATGGGCGTGCCCGGGGCCCCCGATGGATGTATATAAGGAACGTATGATTTGCCAGTCAACGGTCCTGGTACCGTATTCCCCCGGATAGAAGACCCCCCCCAAAATACAACACCCCCGGGTACCTAATACGGAGGGGGGGTCTTTTATTTCACCTAGAGGGCGAATTTGTTGCGTCAGGTGGCGAAATTGCTGTGTCAGGGGGCGAAATTGCTGCGTTAGAGGGGCGAATTTTACTGTGACAGGCGAACTTGTTGTGACTGGTCAAGCGATCAACTTTTGCTGGCTTGGTGCTCACCAAAAACACTCCCACAACTTCAGTATGAACTGTAGTGTATAAAGTTCAAATTAAAATTGCCATATGAAAAGACCCGGGTATTATATATAGTTTTCCTTTGTTAAGACCCCCCCCCCATTTTTTCTAGGGATTTAGCATAAGACCCTAGGGTCTTATATTCGGGGGAATACGGGTAGCAGCAAAAGGCTCGGTGGTCGTGGGGGATATGCCCTTGGACTTGGCTATCATCGACATTGGATCCCATCATGTGCTTATCAAAAAAGGGCTGGCGAAACAGATGCAGGTGCACGAGGAAGGTCGGTTGAGGGAGCGCGGCTTTTCAGTCATGACTGCAGAAGGAGGAGATCCAAAGTGGCTACCATGCACGCGGCACACGGTGGAAATTGTATTGAAACCAGGAGAGCGCGACGAGTGCCGAGTCAAGCTGACCTGCGGAGCGACGGAATCAAAGGATCATGATCTCCTGATGGGAATACGACTCCTCTACGCGGTGAGCGCAAAGATCTGCACGCGGCAGGAAAAGGTGATATACCGGCCATGCTTCTGGAGGCCGGGGGGGCCAAGTGGGACTCTACCGGTGCGGTTCGTGCATCAAGAGCCGAAAGGGGCCTATCAGGCTCAGAGGGTGGAGCTGGAGGATCAGCTGGGAGAAATGAGCTGGTATGAGTGTGAAAGTTGGAATTGGATCCAATGTCTTGATTAGAGTAGAAACAAGCATACATAGGTGAGAAGAGAAGCTTGGAAGAGAAAGGTTGGGTTGACCATAGGTTGGGTTGGCCTCACTTCGGGAAGTGTGGTCACCTTAGGTCAAGTGGGTTGGGTTTGCCACACTTTGTGGAAGTGAGGCAACCTCAGGCCCACTAGGGTTGGGTTGACCACAGTGAGGCAACCATAGTCCAAGTGAGTTGCATTTGGGGGCTCCACCACAATTGGGTGGATTGGCACCCCACAATGCAAGACTACACCCAAAGTTGGGTGTAGTCCCAACCCAACTGTACACCATAATTGGTGTACAGTCACAAGTGTTAGCATGCTAGAACATATAGTTCTAACAATGAGGCCGAAGCAGAGCTGAACAAGAGGAAGCAGCGCGAGGTGTGGGCGGAAAAGAAAGAGGGCGTACTTGGAGAAATCTTGGACAAGCGAATCCTGCAGAAGCCCATTCAGATGCTGGAGTTATTCGGAGGATTGGGGACCGGACTGGCGGCGGCGGTAAAGGCGGGCTGGAGTATTGAGAAATGGACATACGTGGAGGCAAATCCACGAGTCCAGAAGATGGCTCAGCATCATGTGGAAATCCTAAGGCGTACGTATCCTGGTCATATCCTGGATGGAGCGACCAAGGGCAACTGGGGTGAGGCGGGCCACAATGTGAAGGAAATAACGGAGGCCCAGGTGGCAGATTTGAGACGAGTGGATGTGCTAATTGCGGGCTGGGAGTGCCAGGGGGTGTCAAGGGCAGGAGATGGGCTTGGGCTGGAAGACAGCAGGTCGGCCCTATTCGAGGACATGGTGCGTGTCATGCAGATGATATACCATCTGCACGGGGAACACATGTACCTGCTGGAGAACCCGGTCTTTGCGACGGACCTGAGGGAGCCCGTGAGAGCAGCATTTCAGCGAGTGACGTCCCTACTGGGGGCAGGGGTAGCGATGGACGCGGCACAGGCGGGATCGAGGTCCCATCGGGACCGGCGCTACTGGGAGAACGGCCTTTCAGAAGGGCGCTTACGGCTGGAACTCTCTAAGCTACAGAGGCCCGAAGCCAGGCTAGTGAAGGACGTTTTGGAGCTCAACCGGGAGGAGGCGCCCGTG